ATTCCGGACCCCATTCATCAACTTCAGTAGTTTTCTGTCAACCTGAACAAATCCTTGTATCTCCCGGGTGTGCTTCTATACGTGTTATTTCGGGGATTTTTAACAGTTATTCATTTTGTTTATTTAATCTGATCTTCGTGACGGAATTATCTACCACTTACATTATTGTACATTTACTGCTTTCTACTACTTGCTACCCTGATTCTCTACCTATGGCAATATTATTCGCCATCGAACAACGGATGGAGTGCCAGAAAAAAGTACGAGGGTATACATTCAATGATAAATACGAGATGACAATAACGCCAATAATTTGTATCCACGCCAATAAGAAATATAAATGTGATATTCAAGTCGTTATCAGTCAGGAAAAAATTCACAAGAACAGAAGGCAGGTTTCTCATGACACGATTTTAATATCTTATAATCCCGATAACTCACTTATTACCAGGCAAAATACACTTGTACACACCCTATTTATATAACAGCAGTCCTTGGATCAAATACTAATAGGGGCCTTCAATTGCTATAGTCTGCATAAAATCTTCATTTTTGTCCTTAAATACCAGTGCTCCGTAGTCCATGTCTCAATCTAAAACGAAATCACTTATCAACTATTAATCACATTGCCAAGAAATAGAGCTAACTTTTTTGTCCCCCAGTACCAAATAAAGGCCGATCAATTTCGCTTAGTATCATGAAAGGTCGTATCATATAGCTTAGTACTAATATCAAGACGTGTCGTACCATTTAGTTTCGTTTCAAAAAGTGCCGTATCATAAAACTTCGTATCACGAAGTGCCGTACGATTTAGCTTGGTACCAAGAATTGTTGTACCATTTAACTTTGCACCAAGATGTGTGGTACCAGTTAGCTTCGTACCAAGATATTGTCGTATCGTTTAGCTTAGTATCAAGATGTGTTGTATCGTTTAGCTTAGTATCAAGATGTGTCGTATCGTTTAGCTTAGTACCAAGATATTGTCGTATCGTTTAGCTTAGTATCAAGAAGTGTTGTATCGTTTAGCTTAGTATCAAGATGTGTCGTATCGTTTAGCTTAGTATCAAGAAGTGTCGTATCGTTTAGCTTAGTATCAAGAAGTGTCGTATCGTTTAGCTTAGTATCAAGAAGTGTCGTATCGTTTAGCTTAGTATCAAGATGTGTCGTATCGTTTAGCTTAGTATCAAGAAGTGTCGTATCGTTTAGCTTAGTATCAAGATGTGTCGTATCGTTTAGCTTAGTATCAAGATGTGTCGTATCGTTTAGCTTAGTATCAAGATATTGTCGTATCGTTTAGCTTCGTATCAAGATGTGTTGTATCGTTTAGCTTAGTATCAAGATGTGTCGTATCGTTTAGCTTAGTATCAAGATGTGTTGTATCGTTTAGCTTAGTATCAAGATATTGTCGTATCGTTTAGCTTAGTATCAAGATGTGTCGTATCGTTTAGCTTAGTATCAAGATGTGTCGTATCGTTTAGCTTAGTATCAAGATGTGTCGTATCGTTTAGCTTAGTATCAAGAAGTGTTGTATCGTTTAGCTTAGTATCAAGATGTGTCGTATCGTTTAGCTTAGTATCAAGATGTGTCGTATCGTTTAGCTTCGTATCAAGATGTGTTGTATCGTTTAGCTTAGTATCAAGATGTGTCGTATCGTTTAGCTTAGTATCAAGATGTGTCGTATCGTTTAGCTTAGTATCAAGATGTGTTGTATCGTTTAGCTTAGTATCAAGATGTGTTGTATCGTTTAGCTTAGTATCAAGATGTGTCGTATCATTTAGCCTAGCACCAAGAAGTGTCGTGCCATTTAGCATAGTACCAAGAAGTATCGTACCATTCAACCTCATCTCAAGAAGTGTCGTACCATGTAGCTTAGTACCAAGAAGTGCCGTACCGTTTAGCTTAGTTTTCAAGAACTGTAATACCATTTAACTTAGAACCAACAAGAATGGTATCATTTAGCTTGGTAGTGTCGTGCCATTTAGCTTAGCACCAGAAAGCATACCATTTAGCCTCATATCCTGTAATACCAAGTAGATTAGTACTAAGGACTGTAATACCATTTAACTTAGAACCAAGAAGTATCGTTTAGCTTGGTACCAAGAAGTATCGTTTACCAAGAAGTATCGTTTAGCTTGGTACCAAGAAGTATCGTTTACCAAGAAGTATCGTTTAGCTTGGTACCAAGAAGTATCGTTTAGCTTGGTACCAAGAAGTATCGTTTAGCTTGGTACCAAGAAGTATCGTTTACCAAGAAGTATCGTTTAGCTTGGTACCAAGAAGTATCGTTTACCAAGAAGTATCGTTTAGCTTGGTACCAAGAAGTATCGTTTAGCTTGGTACCAAGAAGTATCGTTTACCAAGAAGTATCGTTTAGCTTGGTACCAAGAAGTATCGTTTAGCTTGGTACCAAGAAGTATCGTTTAGCTTGGTACCAAGAAGTATCGTTTAGCTTGGTACCAAGAAGTATCGTACCATTTAGCTTGGTATGATAATAAGACTTTCATTGCCATATACTCTTCATTGCAATAGCCTCGGTGTAGCTTAAGGTTGTATTGTCTGGATTTCCAAGTCATAAGTTCAGGTACCAACGTTTAGTAGATGCGACAAAGAAGGTTTTTAGGTGGGTGATAACAGAGAATATATGGAAGAACCACAACTTTCCAGTTATGGGTAAAGTGCATACCTCAAGCAATATTGACCATGTTGTTTGTCAATTATAAAAGGTCTAAGGACTGGCCTGGCCGGTCATGAAAAATCGGAATATTTTCTGATACGAGTTTAAAGATAAGACAAGAATATTCAAAATATAAGATAATTCACGTATTCAAACAGCTGGTTGATTTTCATATCAAATTGGCCTCAATATCTCTAATAAATATCATACATATATAGTATTCTTTCTTATTTTCACCACGTTTAATACCAATAACATATACACGGTAAGGAGATTCAAGTTGTAACAAATAGTTTTTTGTTTTTTATCCAAAGATTGGAAATGTTTTCAGTTTTTTTGTTTTGCGTTCAAAGTTCTCATGGAACTATATCATTCAAATCACTAACTCTTAAAAAAACATTACTTTGTGACGTCATTAGCCTTGTAATTCACCGACTTCAAACGTAATGCCACGTTTGCCGCGAGACATTGAATTTTGGTTTCTTGATATGGACTAAAGGAATCTTCAGAATCAGATTGGTAATTTTTGATTAGGGATCCTTTGATCATCTGTCTTACTGATCTGATCCGACTGTTTTTTTGATTTGCTGATTGTGGATTTTATATTTAAATTTTTATTGTGAACAGTTGTTTCATCCTTTGGCAATAACGTTTCAACAAATTACATCCATGATCTTCCAATTGAAATTGTGCTCTCTTGATATAGTCTCTTGATATATACTTTATACAACTTGAGAGGCCTGTTATTTTTCTCCCGTTTTTTTATTTCGATAAAAGATCAGCTTTAAGAAAGGAATTTACTCTTATTAATATATAAATATATTATATGACAAGCCATTCATCAACATATATTATTCATTTTTATTGTATTTTCTTATTTTATTGTGAATATTCAAAATGGGGTGACCCGCAGTCACAAATCTTTTGTCTCAGTCTAATCTACCATTCCAGCAAACTATATCCTCTGGGAAAGAACAAAACGAAGCATTTGGAAGGCTTGCACAACTAACCACAGCCTTAACGTACCGAAACCTGGCAAACTGAATGTCTAGGAAAGATTCAATGAACACAATGTGCATAACATAGGGTTAAGGCAATAGCTGGTACAATTGAAACGGTAGGCTTATCCTTCTTAATACCTGATGTTACTCTTGGACTATGTGACTGTTTGTCTGCCCTGTTTATTACCTCGAAACTGCGTTCACAGAATCTGTATGAGTAATGATGTTTCATTTGTAGCCTACTATTATAACAATATACATTATATATTGACATATAGCAATATATTAAGGGTATATAATCCCTGAGGTATCCAACTTATATATTGCCTGTCACGTGTTGTCTAGGCATGAGTGTAATAAACCGAGTTATCACATATATCATCATAGTGATGTTTAAATATCACCCTCCAGCGGTTAGTAGTCACGACCTACAAGACTTTAAAACCACGGTGTTGCTTGTAATATAAAGATCAGCAATAAGAGAAATATAATTCTAAAGTAACAATTTTAACATAATTTGATTATACATATTATCCATATATTTTCACACACAAATTGTTTAAAGTCTCCTCAATTTCTTTACCTATTGGAAAAGATCAAAGAGTGAAAGGTCTTGATAACAGAAGCTACTGTATAGTATTATTTGCTTGATATCATGTATACGGACTATAGTCAAGATATTTACATTTATTGAGTTTTATCACGACGCTAGTAGCTTGTGAGATAACATACTCGTAGCTTCCTTGTGTTTTATGGAAGTCTGCTAGAAAAATGATATTTGTGTAGACTACAAGAACGACAGTAAGTACCATTTCAACTGTTAGAATTAATAATGACGATTAAAACCGCAGTTGTAATGAACTGAATACGTTACCGTTTCAAAGTGGATACTAATTTATAACAAAGATCTTCACTTTCACTGTTGTGTGATAACCAGTTTGAATATCCAAACCGTCTTGATATTACTGTAGAGAATAAGACCTTTGTTTTAGTAAGAAATGGACTGCAAATAGTCCTGAGATCAATCCTTATCAATGTATAAGTTTACATCAAACAATGCCAGAAATTTTCAGGTACCAGTCCTATTATTACTCCTTTATACACATATCATAAAATTGTGCCGTTATCTACTAGTCTTATAATGACTGAAAATACAAAAAAGCTTTTCATTTCTTCTGCTTCTAGTATGCGAGTTAAACTGAGTTAAATACAGGAAAAATCAGATCTGCTATGTGATGTACAGTGTATCAGAGAAACGGTAAAAAGAACTCCATGATATTGGTCCACGACACCGTATTATGAATATTTATTTCTTCTACTTCCAGGAGTAGCCCTTATGGATGACCAGTGTCAACTGACCGATGGCTTGATGAGTCCAAAGTCAATCAAAATTGAGGGTTGTGCAATTTCACATTCTGGACTTGCCGCTTTGGCAGCTGCCGCTGCTGACGAAACGGCTCAAATTCCGACCAACTCCAACAACAAGCATACTAACCGTAAGACAGGGGCTGATATGAAAATATTTCTTAGTTATCTTCTGTCTGTTAACGAAAACAGATCACCTCAAAATATACCCGAGGTGGAACTGGACAAACATCTCTGTAATTTCTTCATGATTGTGAAAAAGACGGATAAAACTGAGTATGAACCTTGCAGTTTGCGGTCGATGATGGCGAGCATTGAAAGGTTCCTCAAAATCAACGGTTATCCATCATCGCTTACCAGAGATTCTTGTTTCGCGAATACTCGATACACCTTGAAATTGAAACAAAAGGTACTCAGAGAGATGGGAAAAGGATCGAAGCCCCAATCACCACACAGCATCGCTAGCTTAAAAGACAAGACACTGGACAGGCTTTTTGAGGCGCGTGAAATGGGGCCATACAGTCCTACTTCCGTCGTTCAAACCTTGTGTTTCGTGTTCGTCGTGTACCTCAGACTCAAAAAAGCGACAGAGCACAAGAAACTGTTGTGGGGTGATGTGATTTTAGACAGAGACCAAAATGGTAGAGAATATATAACATTTTCTGACCAGATGCTGCAGAGGTGCACGTTACAGTATCTTAAGCAGTGCCAACCCGTGGTATACGCACTACCGGACTCCCCAGAGCGAGATCCAGTCAGAATATATAAACTGTATGCGTCAAAACGGATATCTACCATGAATTACCCCTACGCACCATTCTATTTAGGAATCAATGTATTCAATCCCGCCGATAATCAATCCTGGTATAAAAATATCGCCATGGGAATAAATAAACTTAATGACATGGTGAGACAGGTGCGTGAAATCACGGGAGTCACTCCAACCCAGCAGACGACCGATGACGTAAATGAAACGCCACAAGATCTGTCTCTTACGTCATCAGAAAGGAATTCCCGCCATTCCACACCTGAGCCCCACCTTGGCTCAAATAATGCGTTTCAAATTTATAAAGATTTCGATTTAAATGACAGTGTACAGGACAATGACATGTCTGATAATAACTCAATCAAAAACGAAAATTTACAAAATTTACAAAGTTATCGCAGTTCTCAGAGAATGCTTTCATATCAGCCAATATATGGTCCTAACATTGCCAATTCTCTGCATTTGGAAAACCCCAGTACCTTTAAAGTGGAGCCTGGTTTAGACAGTTGTGATGCTATGACAGATGTTGACGATGACGATGACTCGAAGTCTGGCAGCTCTTCTGATGGTAATGACGTTGGTGATAAAGTGGTAGAGGTAGAGAAGGGTGATCAGCTTGAAACAGAAGTTCAATCAACAAAAGGTATATGAATCCAATTAGCACCAATCCTTAACTATTCAAGTCAGCCTATTTTATCTTGTCTCTTGTGGTAATATTGGTACGCTTAGGTTACATCAAAAGCGTCATATAAGGTCAGGTTACTCACACAAGCTTATCGTCTATTCTAGCCAGCTGATTTTGACGCTCTTTTCGCCTAGTCACTGACAACGAATCAAATTCCGTTCTTAGAAACAGCGTTAACATCGAACTCAACTGAACTCAATCTACATTAGCATAGAGTGTTTTATCCAAAGTCACTAAGACAATGGCAACAATTAGAAAACGTTCATAAAGATACCGCTATGTACGAACTCATCCGAGATATTATCAATCCACACAAGAATACCAGGGGCGACAAAATGGAATGAAATGTGTGACAAAATAACAATGCTCATCATCCAATTAATCATTTCAATCCGAAATAGTATATGCCCAGTTCTATACAACGTCAGATGTTTCAAGTGATTTTTTTTTCTTTTCAGAAGAATCATCACCCGCAAAGATATCATTCTTGGACGCTCAAAGAAAATTTGAAATGTTGCTTAATCAACTGGAGGCACAAGAGCTTACAAAATTCAAACACTGGTTCAAAAATATAGATATAATTACAGACATCGAAACAGGTACTTCATCTGTATTCAGTACTAGACGCTGTGGAGACGCATGAAAAGTATTAATGAGTTATGTCCACTGGCGCATTATTTCGGAATGCTTCCCTTGCATTAAATTCTGAGTTTGGGAGAAACAAAAAGTTGCATGTGCCCGGTATATTTTGTAGAATACTAGTAAATCTTGGTGAAAGTTGAGTAAGCAAGGAATTTGTCGCTCATGGGGGATTTAAGAAAAAAGTGCATGTCCTATAGCCTACTTATGAAATATTGTATTACAGGTATTTTGGTTTGCAAAGAAAGACAAGAATGTAAAAATGAAACAACCTCCTCAGTAAAAGAACAACAAATAGTTCTTAATATCACATTATCTAACAAATCATTTAGAGGTGAGCAACCGGTTACTGTAACGGCCACCACTAAATTGGTTGAAGTGGGATCACAAGAAGATGCCACCATGTGTTCCATGTTGAAGATGAAGAAAAGACTTTCAAGTGATGATGGTGACTACAGTGCATCACGTGGTGATGATCTGACAGATTTATCTGATGGCAAGAAACAGAAATTAGATAACAATAAATGATTAAGATACATCTGATTTGATTTTACTGGTCGTTCTCCAATTTCATTGAAATTTCTTTATAGGTCGCACAGGTATTGATGCTCACAGAAGTAGAGGGTGAAATGCTAATAACTATTTGAGGCTCTGGTCGGTCAATCTTTTCGGAAATTATCAGATATTTCTTGCATTCCTTCTTGATGAAAAATCTATAAGACATTCCCTTGTTGGCGTGCGATTTTTGCCTACATAAGATACTTTCTACATTTTTCATCTTCTTATTATTAAGAACACATTTTCGGAGAGATTTCAATCCCTGAACAGCAGGTTCTTGCCAAACTATCATTTCCCACATACACGAGCTTATCTTCTGAACTATTCGATTTAAAATATCATCTAAACAGGAAGATGTTTGCTATCATCTGAACAGGGAGATGCGTTTGAACAGAATGATGTTTTGACAGGAAGATGTTTGTTACCATTTGAACAGGAAGATATTTATCATTTGGATAGGAAGATGTTTATCATCTAAACAGGAAGGTGTTTGTTATCTGAATAGGAAAATGTTTGTTATCATTTAAACAGGAAGATGTTTGCCATCATTTGAACAGGAATATGTTATCTGAACAGGAAGGCGTTTTTTTTTTTAAGTAAACAGGAAGATGTTTGTTATCATCTGAACAGGATGATTTTTGTTATCTGATAAGGAAAATGATTATTATCATATGAACAGGTAGATGTTTGTTATCATCTGAACAGGAAGATGTTTGTCATACTTTAAACAGGAAGATTTTTTATCTTATGAACAGGAAAATGTTTATCGTCATCAGAACACCTGAACAGGAAAATGTTTATCGTCATCTGAACAGAAACTGAAACTCATGTGAAACTCAAGTGAAAGAGAAAAACACCATAAATATGATTTAGTAGTATATTGAATCATTCTGTACAAATCTATAGAAACTTGAACAATATAAATCATGATAACAAATAACATAGTCATAACAAATAATCTAATACAGAACTTGTATCAAACAATAAGGGATCCTTTTTAAAGACTTTCTCATTTCAAAGAATTAAGAATTCTTGTTCTATAGTGATGTCTATAAAACGAACTCTTTTACATTATACATCAATTTCTTTAATTATTCATTTGAAATTGCACTATTAAGCCATTTGTTATATACTTCTACTAGTCAAACATTACTAACATTTCTGATTAATTGGACCTGATCTAAATTTTATGTTAAATATGATTATCATGAGATGCAGAATGACCCCCCATTTTATCAGTTAGAGTGTCAAATATATGGTCACCTAAAACTTCAAGCAATAGACATATTATTTGAAGCATATGGTATAAACTTTGTAACAGCCTCAGTGTTTATCACATATTTTTGGACTGGTAATGACACTGCTACTGTTATATCATCAATAGTCCAAGATTTCACTGATAAACAGAAAATTTCTGCACCTTCAACAACCACTAAAATATGAATGAATAAATGAATGAATGAATCAAAGATGATGAATACTTATATAAGGATTAATTTATCCTTGAGATCATCGACAAATACAATTTTTTTCTTAATCAATAACAATGCCATATCTAAATCTATATTTACATCGAAGGCCATCTTCACAATGTCACCTTAGTTATACATCACTGCATTGCAAACTTCCATGATACAAGAAAGATGGCTATTGCAGTCAAGGTATTTGACGCAGTTCGTTAGAGCTTGATAAGACCACAGGCCAGTGTAATCAGTCTATATATACTTCTATTGTAATATTTCTATATGGACAATGCATATTGCTCTCTAAGAATTCATGGCATCACTGATAATGACATCTATAAGATATAGAGTCCCTAACAAAGCCAGATTTATCAATTTTCTACTACTATTAGTACTATTTCTAAACTATTATAATGTACTTCAACGTCTGACCCTCTCTTTCAGAATCTATGTTGGTCGAAAAAGCAATATAATATAAGCAACTAAATTCGTTACCATATTGAATAGCTAGAGAACTGCATAAGGCTGACAATGTGACTGTGACAATAAAATCATCTGGAGTATTGTGGAAGATTTAAATATATGGCACTTCATAGCCTACCAGAGGTTAATTAATCTTGGGGGGTATGAGCTACCATCACAGCAAGAGTTTGAACCTATTTTACCTACATATTTTTCAATGTCACAAACTAAGTAAAATTTTCAAAACACATGTGATGGCCACATATACTAAAAGGTACATAAATTAAACTAAATTTATCAATTAATACTCGAGGAAAAGAATAAATATACGAATTAGTAAATCTAAATAATAGAAATCACATTAACAACATCCCCCTTCCTCTCTCCCCTTCAATCCCAGCTCCTCCCATCAAATTAGAAAATAAATTCCAAATACCCATAAATCAACAAAGAGTAACTGATCCCTAAATTTTATCATTAAATTAGAAACTAAAAGCAATATAATAAATATATAATATTATTGTATACAATATAAAAATAGCACTTTTCCTACAGAATTTCATCCTCACAAACACAAACTGAAAGTGTCAATATGACAAATATGTCTTCATTCAATATCTTCTTTATGAAAGTAGTATGGCAAAACACTGGTTCCTCAAAAAATCTTGCGATCAATAAATCATGTATTTTTCAATGTTAAATTTCTCAATTAAGACAAGTTCAGGCTTCACTACAAAATCAGTGTAAAACTAATTGTCTCCTTTCATTACTATAAGCAAGCATTTATCAAGAGACAGCACTAGTCTGCAGTGCAACCTAGTTTAGGTAAAGAAAGAGTAATAGACTGGCCAAACCTAGTTTAGGTAAAAAAAAAAAAAGTAATGTATTAATTGACCAATGAGATACATTGTAAAGGAGCGACTGCCAAAACTGTTAATATATTTGACTTTTTACACTGCATACATGTACAAATATTACAAAATCATATAAATATAACTTTATACCGTCAAAATTCATCAAAAATCTGATTATTCCCAATAAAAAAAAAGAGTTTCAAAATGGATACAAATCTTGCTTCATCTCTAAAGAGATCAAAAATATCTTCCATCGAAAAATTCCTGAGACCACGTCATAAAACTGTTATTGCTTCAAACTTATTCTGAGCTAAATACAAACTCAATACAAAAATGTCAAATTTTTTCTTCTGAGAATAGGATTCTTTCAAATGGCTCGGAATCTCAAATAAATTTCCAGGAGGTGAAAAGTCTCTCCTTGGTCGGTGCTTTTGTATCTTGCAAAGCCACGTTCACTTTTTACCATTTATCTTGCAATACACAATAACCATTATTGATCAATGAAATATCCTCCTTTGACAGAATATAACTGTCAACAGTTAAAAATGTTATCAAAATGACCCATTCTTTGGGCCAATAATTCAAAACATTGTCGAAATCTCAAAAATGTTCCTCCCATTCTTCTGCTGGAATTCAAAATTATATATTTAAAACTTGAAGCTCTTGCTCCAAAGTTTATGATTGCCCACATTTAACAGCTGTTCTAAACACTTTCAAACATTCCTGAAAATTGTTCTTTCTATTCCAAAATCCACTCAACCTCTAAGACAGTGCTGATGGCTCTGTCTGAGTTCCATGAACAGAACAGATCTCACCTTCACTGAACTTGTCAGGGCTCAAAAATTGGTCTGGACGACCCAAATATCACTTTGGTTACCATAGCTACTCAAGGTTGCTGCTACGTATCAACTGGTTCTTGCTTCAATTTGAACGCCTGCATTCCAGAAGTAAATCTCACTTTCTTTTTGTGACGGAGTGGCAAAGATTTCAGCGTTGATGGCTTCAAACAATTTAAATTTGTCTCTAATTTTATTTCGCCATCATCTTCCTCGTCTATATTTGTGATGTTACACAATTTCTTTGGTGATGGCGTATCCATATTAAACATAGGGTCCGTCAACCGTTTTCTTGGCGGAAGACTAGAGTGAAAGTCTGAAGGCGTATGAATCGTGAAGCTTTTCTTCCGTGTACCCAAAATGGCTGCCACTTCAGCCACATCCATATTATTCTCAGAATAAAATACTCGGTCCTTTAATTTTTCAGAGCCAGTGATTGGTCCACACTTTCTATGAAGAAGCAATTGAGTGTCGTCTGTTATTCCCGAAAGAAGCATTGAATCATTTGTTGGGATGGTTACCTTCAAGGGAAGCAACTCTTTACAAGAACAATGAGTGGAGTCTAAGGACAGGAAATCAACCTGTTTGATTGAAATACCTTGTAGACTCTCTAAACTCTCATTCTCCATACTGGCTTCTTGACTGTTTCCATTGCTTTTGTTTCCTTTGAGGTCGTTGCTTGTAGAGTTTTCATTATTTGTGTCTTGATGATCAACTTCAGGATCAATGGTAGCTTTATCAACAGGACTACATAGAACCATTAACTCTGAATAAATAAAATTAAGATTCTTTTAGGCAAGTTCGTAATCCAGATTTGAAATAAAAGTAAGCTTAACAAGTGATAATGTAGTCTGTGGGTGTTTGCAAGATATAACACAAGAGGCTCCTTGCATTCAATAAAGCTACATACAGAGATGAAGAATTCATACTTGCAAAACTTGGCCGTACACACATCATCAAAGGTGTACTACTAAAGGGATGTTTTTCTTCATTTGTTCTTGTCTTTTTAATCATTATTTAGCTGAGATTGTCCTCTTGGCAACCATTTCTTGATAAAGCTTTCTATGCGACAACTAGTATATCCTGTCCATATTTTAACTTGCTTACCTCCACCATTTTTAATAACTTTCACAGTTTTCAACCAATCAACAAACTTCTGAATATCTTTCACCATTAATTTCTGGACTGAATTCAAAACTTCCATTTTAGCTTCCCTAAGACCTGCATAATATACAAAACAGTCTACGATACAGGTATATCTATATCCATAACATTGATTAAAATTTAGTCCATGAGTTTATGAAATTATCAAGGCTAATAACTTGGGATGACAGATAATGATGAGTGCTGGTGGATTTAGCTCCTTCTGTTCCTGCTTAAGTTTGCTTAATATGTCCTGACACTCGTTTCACTAAACTCATTAGTCCAACTTGCCATTTTCTGTTGTGAGAACTCATCAATGTCCATAAAACAATGCTGTGGATGATGTGGGTAAAACATTCACAGCTAAGATCTTTGTTATTTTGTTAGTGAAACACAAGTAAGAATTTGCGTAAAATGATTGTAAGTGTAATATTTTGTAATCTTACGCACTTTAGTGAAACAAGGGGCCTGCTGAAGATTTAATATCAGAAATATTTGTCAAAAGAATCTGATTAGCCTCAGCCTCAATAAAGCTTGTTTCTTGTATTGTAAGTCCTTGAGCAGTACTGTGGAGGCAACCATCACATCAAAATGATATGGTTCTTACTCAAACATTAGGCCCTAAGAAGACTACAGTGCAACATGTGTCAATAACACATAACATAAAATAGATAAAAATTGCTTACCAACTCCTTGTTCTGTTGAGACATGATCATCCATATCAGTTTTAAATTCACTATCAGATGAAGAGGCATCATCATTACCATACAAGTCTGGTACTCGTTCCATGTGCTCTGGTTTCTCTGTCTTAATCTGAGCCTCGGGAATCATCTGCATTATGGACTCTGATTCTGGTTCTGGATTCTTGATCCCCATTGCTTCCTGACAAATGGATTCCACCATTGGTATATACACAGGTTTTATGGAGCTGTTTGTATATGTATCTTTTAATCCAGCTTGTAGGCATATTTTCTGCATAAATTTCCCCAATGAGCTATTTCCCAAAGCTGTGTTGTCAAACCAAACATAATCTGATTTATTGACTTGCCGTTTTGGTCTCTGCCAAAATGCTGTTGTCATTGGATGAAGATGTGTGACGTATTTTATAAAAGACATCACCGGGCACCTTGGATCCCCTGAAAGAGAAGAAGATTTCAATAGAACTATTTTGATGGCAATGAATTTCTCAACCTATGGTAAATAGAACTTTTTTGTTGACAATGAATTTCTCAACCTATGGTAATTGTACTATTTTGATGACAATGATGTTCTCAACCTATGGTAAATAGAACTATTTTGATGGCAATGAATTTCTCAACCTATGGTAAATAGAACTTTTTTGTTGACAATGAATTTCTCAACCTATGGTAAATAGTACTATTTTGATGACAATGAAGTTCTCAACCTATGGTAAATAGAACTATTTTGTTGACAATGAATTTCTCAACCTATGGTAAATAGAACTATTTTGTTGACAATGAATTTCTCAACCTGTGGTATGTAACTACTCTTGAGATAGCAAATGAGTCTCATAATCTCTTATTTTGTAGGATTAAAAGTTTTATGCTGTATTTTTATGGTTCACATTGCTCTATGCTTGAATTCATATACTGATAACACTATATAGAGGTATATATACATATTCATACCATAGACATTATGCAATGCAATGAATATTTTGCTATCACAATTAAGTTATCACCATATGTTACAATTATTGGCTTTCGAATTACATTGAGATGGATCATTATAACACTATTCTTTTCATGGACTGTCAAATGTTAAACATAACCTTTGTTGTTTGTAGAGTAGGATATAGGAGCCCTTGAAGATGGAAATATTATTGTGGGACTTTGCTTTCAGCAAAGTCCCAGTTTGTTATCGAAATGTCAATTCTTTTTTTTTTTTTTTTTTTTTTTTTTTTTCGAAATTTACACACCTTCCTGAGCTTAGACTACAATAGTTGCAGCAACCATTCAACGTTCACGAACCTTAGATATAGGCGTCGATGTGCATAAATATATTTTGGATCTTTTTTGCAAAACCGGAAGTGCCACAGTTCAATATGTGCAAGAATAGTTAATCGGCTCTAGAAGTCGTATTTTTCGGTCGATTTTCTTTGGGTTTGCATTTTTGGAATCTACTGGCAAAATCTGAAAGAATAGCAGTTTCAAAATTTCAAAATTCGAAAATTTGTCGCAGACATTTTTTTTGCCAAATTTTGCATTTTTTTCATTTTTTTTGCTTTTTGTCTGATTAATCTGAAAAAAATTGAGCAAAGACAGTTTAAGAAAGTAAACAAAATGGTACAGTAAAAATTTCAATTTCACTTCCGGTTTAAACAGGAAATCGATGTTCACTTCCGGTTGAATATCTTCCGGTGTAATTTGTATAGGACAAAAAAATTTATGCTGATAGATAGACGAAGTTATGACAAAAAAACGAAGAAAAAAAAATCTGGAACAGACGTGAAACTTTGGCCGCCATTTTGATTTCCCTGAAACTCTTCGATTTTTATTCAGCCAATTTGGCTGAACCGAAATTTCAAAATTTTGGTGTCAAATGAAAGAACATAAAAATTAAGAGAGATCGCAGGAAGCCGATTTTTGAATTTCGATTTTGCTTTTTTGCAATTTGCGATTGAATTTTTTCAATATTTGATGGCGTATATCTCGTGACCTTGACCTTTGATGACCTTGACCTTTGTAGGGTCAAAGGTCATTTACCTTGGCTATCATTTGATACTTTGACCTTTGACCTCCGACGTGTACTTCCGGTTTTATAGCTATCCGTAAAAAGCCAAATTTGCAACTTTGGACTGCTCTAGCACGTGACCTAATTAACCTAGAGGGTTAATTTTTTCGGTTTTCTAATGTGCTTCTCATGCACTTTACATAGATATAGAACAATTGCTTTTTTAAAGCAAAATTGAAATTCGTGATTTTTTCAAATTTGAGTTTAGTTTTACCATATTTGTGTCTTTTTGATCTTCGTGTATGTATATCTTATGATCTATTTGATGTAGAACCTTGATATTTAGAATATAACTAGACACTTTGAATATGAATTCACCTATGACAAAAAAACTTATGTGGGCGTGGAACATCCGGGTTAAATTACTAACTGTTTACATTTTGGGGCTGGGGCATAACTCGCATAGGATGCGTTTGTTCAAGAAGAGACTTTGCACACAATTACCTCATCCTTTTGGCCAGTATGTATTAACAGCTCAGTTGTTTCAGCTTTATAGTTTCAAAAAAGGAACGGGTTTTAACATTTGGATATTTTCATTTTTCGATTTTGACCTTTTTTGACTTTTGTTGACCTATATCTTTTGACCTCTATTATGTAGGAACTTGACATTTGGAACATAACGTAACATTTTGAATATTGATTAACTTCAAAAAAACATTGAGTTGGGCGTGGCACTTCCGGGTTAAATTACTCATTATTGACATTTTTGGCCAGGGGCATAACTTGCAAAGTATACATTTGTTCAAAATGGAACTTTTTACACAATTACCTCATATTTTAAGCCACTTTGTCTTAGAATTTTGGTTGTTTCCGCTACATAGTTCAAAAAAAGGAACAGGTTTTGGAAATTCAAAATTTTCAATTTTTGACCTTGACCTTTGTTGACCTTGACCCTTGTAGGATCAAACGTCATTGGCATTGGCTATCTATTTATACTTTTATATTTGCTGTCCTAAGTCAACTTCTGGTTTTATAGTCGTTAGCAATTTGAAATTTTAATGGCGTATATCTCTTGATCTTGACCTTTTTAGGCCTTCTCCTTTACAAGATCAAAGGTCATTGACCTTGGCTATCTGCTGATACTTTCATTTGTGAGGTCTGACGTCTACTTCCGGTATTAGAATCTTCTAAAAAATAAAGAATTATCAACTTTAAACTTGTTCTTGCGCTTGACCTAATTATCGTCGATGGTTGATTTTTTCAGGGTCTTTAGCAAATTGCTACATTTGCAAAGTCCCACTCTGTGCCACGAGTGGCTCTAGTTGTAATTGTATTAATATTTTAAGTAAGCTGAGTGATAAAACTAGCCTTTGTAGCCTAATAGTGGGGAAGGTGAATTGTATTTTTGATAAAAGATTACTGATGAGTCTAGACTTTTTACAAGTGTAGAGGGTAAACCATACCTAGACTCCCAGACTAAGATGCTCCTGCATTAAAAGTAATATCAAAGATGAGAACCTTTGGCCATACAGATCTATAAAACTTCACAATGTCAAGCTATTAATAACTTTGTCTTATACCTTGACAGTAATAGCCAACTTACTTTCCAAATAGCTTGACATTGTGAAGATGACAGCAGATATAAGAGTCTATAGAATGGTGAAAATTAGAACCTGTTTACAATATTTTACAATATATAGAATTATTTAATAGGTCAATTCAATGAAAAATTATAAATTGAATTTAATGTAACTAAGGTACTGTATGATGCAGTTTAAGTATCGTCATAGTAATAAATAAGTATCAATTTTTGGTATATGAAACTTGTTAATTCCACATCCTGTTTGAAATGGTTGCTATGAGTATCTTTGATCACTCACGGTTTGACATCCGTTTCAAAATAAATATAGCCTTCAAAAAACGCCCATAGTATAGTTACATTGGAGGGTAATGACATTGCCAACCCTTGAAATAACGAACATTAGTTAGTTGGACAAATTGTTTATTACAATTGCTACAGATAATGTGAGTTTAATCTCTGCTGATCTATCAAACCTATTACTTCATTCAAAATTAATAATACCACAGCAGAATGTCTTGCTTCTGCTTAAACAAGAAGTTTCCTTGGCATTTAGTCCAGGCCTGCGCAACTTACGGCCCGCGAGATGATTTCATGTGGCCCGCGGCGTCATGTAAAATTTGAAGGAAATGCAGCCCACGACCAAATCCTTCTTGTCACTGTTGGTGTGGCCCGCAGATTATCGCTGCCTATTCTGATATTGAAACCCGTCATATCCACACTGTTATATCAAAGTACGACATCAAAATGAATCTATAGTCTATGGAGAGAAAATATTTCCCCATTTTGTAGAATTTTTTTGACATTTTGGATATGTGCAAATTTTGGAAAAGATGAAAAATATTTTTGTACTTTCATGCTTTTGTAAATTTCTTTATATAAGACACAAAATCAGTGTGAAAGTTGGAAATTTGATAAGTACCGTACACTGTGTCATTACTTTAATTGCTAATTTCATTGCAAACTTGTATTCAAGAAAGTACATTTTTGAATATCTTGTACACCATTACAAGTATATTGTAAAGATATCTGTAGGTTGACATGTGCAAATAACATTTGATTCACATATTGCAAATTTGCATTCAATTAAAAATCTAATTTTGCAAACTTGCATTCAATTCTTAAATATATTGCCTATTTGCACTAAATTAATTAGCAAAATAGCATTCACATCTAAGAATGATTTGCAATTCAATTCCACTAGAAAGGTCCAAAAATAGTTACAAAAAATATCTTACCAAGCCTTTCATACATTCTGTCACCGAGCTGATTTCCAAACGACACAGATCTCTCATCCCCAGCCACGTTTCCAACTTCTCGAATACTAAACTTATTGGAATATTTCAACCATACATATCTATGCCCTTTTTCATCTGTAGCAATCTCAAAATCTGTTTTAACCATTGAACGTAGACAGTCTTTTCCTCGATTGATAACATATAAATTAATATCAAAATATACTTTATTCTGGATATATTCCGGTGAGTCCCCATTTAATGCTTCGCTAAGATATAAACTTTTTAATGCTTCGTAGGATATTTTCGTCTGCTTGGAAGGTTTGACACCAACAAATGACGGAATTGGAGAAGATCTGGCACTATTTGTCTCTGTCAAAGAATGGGTATGAGGAACTCCAGTAAAGTTTGGAACCTTGTAATTGCCATTGACAGGATCCACTCTAGATAACATGTCGATTTTTTGGTGAGGTGTCAGACATCTATCGAAAGCGATATTTGCGTAATAAAAAATCCTGTCATTAATAATATCAATCCCATTTTCATTTTGAAAAAATTTGTATAATCCATCTCGAATTCCGATCACATCTTCACCTGAATGTTTATAACATTTATAAAACTGAGTTAAAAAGTCTGCCAATTCTGACTTCATCATACTTGTCACTCCATTGATATCTTTTCCTTTTGTCAGAGCAAATTTCATTAAATGTTCAGTGGCTACTATTGCCATGTTATAACCCATACCATCATTTAACGCACCTGGCATCACTTCGCTGCTATCTTTTTCTACTTTTGGTACCTTTGGTTTACGTAAATCCATTTTAATTAATTAGATAACGAGTCCAGTTCAGTCGTCCTCACATCGGGTTTATCCACAATGACGTCATATAAATAGTTGAGTTTATAGAAACTGACGTGTTATAACAGGGCAATATTAAACAGGGAAATAATAACTACTATATCATCTCACGTGCTACAATGTATAACATGGAATAAAAACACGTTAAACTATTCTTTATAACGTCACAATAAATTATAGTTCACTCCCAATATCAGTTCCTGGTATCATTGCATTTATTTTACTTTTATCACGTTCAGCTTCGAAAACACCTTGTTCCCCTAAAATTACAAATAATGGACTATTCTGGCGACGCAAGTTCTTATATTCGTCATAGTGGCGTGACTCACCGACCTACTTCTTCCTTTCAGACTCGACCATTACACCGCCACCTCATGACGTCATGAACTAAGGTGCTTGACAACCAGGGCAATATGACTGTTATATCCCATAGCAACGCCGATATTTCTATATGCCAAGTGTGCAGTATACAATACAGGCCTGCTAGCTACCTTTTGTTTATCATTGATTCTGACGTCACTGATTAGTCCTTGGGCTGTATAGAATTAGAAAATCGAAATCAGTCTCGACACTTATTTTTTTATATATATACGCAGGTTGAATGGGCATTTAAATCGAATAGATCTAGAGACGACATAGTTATGAATAGTTGTCGCTTATTAATTGAATTTAAATATTTGGGTTGGGCATGGGATTGATAAGCCATGTTCATATATTTAGTAGGCTGTAATAAATAGTAGGGTTGTCAACATGGGCCTACCTGCCTGTCAAAATAGATATGTGCACGGAATTGAATCTTATCATTCATTTAAATGGAAGCTATGTTTCTCTCCTTATTCTTCCTGGAAGAAATAGGATACTTTCTTCATGCCTTCGTATACTAGAAGGAAGCATACTCAAAGTAGCAATTTTTTGGTGAATCTTTTCAAGTAACCCATTAGTGTTCTGTTCTCATTTTGGCTATTTATTGTGCATTGAGGGAAAATGAGGCGATCGTCACCTTTCGATATCTTAGTCTGATAGACAGCTCTGTGAAGCAGTATTATATGTATTGCCTTTACAAAGTATTTAACTGTATAACTACGTTATGATATAATGCATCGTACACATCGGCTTGTACCAATAGCTCTCATAACTGCTTTGTATAGCATCTATTGTTCGTTGTATATTAAAATGTAGTATTGGATCCGATCCCAGCACCGGTTTGAGAATATCCGGATTTTCATATCGGTTTCCACCTGTCAGTTATAGAATTTTAAGGGGGTGGAAAAAAACTTGACGATAAGACCTAAAATTTTCATACCGTTTTCCTTCTGTCAGTTATGTGGAAAGAAGGGGATTGAGATTCTTTTGAACAGACAAAAGGACCTAAACTTAATACCAGTGATCTGCAGTCTGTGCGCGTGCAAGATCCCTCGAAAGACGAAAAAAAAAAAAAAAAATAAAAAGCCCCGTTCTGGCAAAAAAACATCAATTTATACAACAATGCTAGTCCTGACTTCACTGACCCAATCAGATGCTGGAAAAAACAGAACAGGTGGTGATACCACATTTTTGAATATTCTGGCTTGCATATATTTTGAATGTCATTTGACAGTTAGATTGAACACACTATATGAAGTAAAATTTTCACAGATCATGGATAGCAAGTGTAGTAGGCCTAATCAACGGTAAAACCATGAAACCAAACATCTAAATTGGCATATAATAGTTCTAGGATTGTATAGTTTAGGCATTTGACGATGGGAGATATCCTCTTTAAGTTTAATTTGATCCGACCACATACATAAGAAGGCCTATTCTTTGATCTATAATAAGATAATGAGTTATGATTTTTAAAATCTTTTATCACTTTATAAATAGACGTGGAAAGAAAATATGAATCATTTGGTTTCCTGTTGTAGGCTAGACTTTGTTGAACTGTGTCAATAATATGATGAAATTTGACCGCGGATGTCACCCGCGAGATGGAATGTCCGCACAGCCTATAATATCAATTCCGGAATCTCCCGTAGTCTTGATAAATTGGACCTCGTTATTTAAAATTTCGTGATGTATTCCTCCCAAGAGTAGACTTTCGCTTCAGTAAATTTTACTGTGAACGATTGATGGAGAAGCGCAGCCGATATAATAGGTGTAGGCCTACTTGTTCCTCTATCAAAAATGTTGTCGGTCCGCCCGGCTGTAGTATATCAAGTCTCAATCTATCGGATTCACTCTAGTCCGAAACATCAACCACCAAAACATGGCCTAGTTTTTCTGGCTGTACACCAACCGAAAACTTTCAAAATAGATATTAGTGCCTGGAATAGAGGCAGATGTTTCTGTCTATAAATCTATATTCTATACTACACATCAAGCATGGTTGCTCAAAGATACAGAGAACTGTCTTTTGAGACAAATGTAGTCTTCTGTGTTCAAAATGTTATATAGCGGGATGATAATATCATTTGAAATATAATGCTGTTTTGCGAAATTATTCACTGATGATACCTGTAGTTAATGATACTATTTTTCTAGACGCTCGGAAATTGTGACATCGACATTGCGAAATATGATCCAAAAGCAATATAGGACCTAAGAAAAACATATCATCCGCCTTAGGAGAGAAATGGGGAATCCAGGTTTTTTCAAGAAAGGTCAGGTTATCCCGTAGGCGACATGGGATGTGAAATACCCCAGGGACAGAAATTTCGGTATAACTGTCAATTTGGAGTACCCACTCTTCCAAACGCTGGCGCCAGACTTGATTGTTCAGAGGGGCAAGTAATATACCCGGAGGGGCAATGGTTTTTTAGCTGTAGTAATGGAATTGGTTTGCTGTCAGGATTTATTCAGGGGGGAAGGGGGGGGGGGGGGGGGGGGCAATCCATTTTTTCCACTGTCATGATTTTAAGAATTGCCAAATATCTGTATCTTTTTAGACTTGGAAGTCATTCAAAACATAACTGATGTGTCCACAACATACGTATGTATATACATCCTGTCCTTCGGATAGGACAATAAACCGATACATAGTGTTATACTAGATGTGCACTGATCACTGGTCAGAAACTTAAAGCTAACATGTCGTGCAAAATCAAACATGGTGATATTGCTTACCTTGCAAAATATAGGTCAGACAGTGGCTCAACTACCATTAGTACTGGTTGAACCAAGTCCACGGGCCCAACCCATTAGGGGCACCCATACCCTTCCATTAACAGGCAATAAATTGACATACAGAGAAGTGTCAGAATGCAGGAGAGGGCCAACCCGCTTAAGCCCCCACTTATCTAGTTGAGCCACTAAGTCAAGATGAAATTGACAGTTACAAATATGCTCAGTGCTCACATAATAGTGTATGAAGGGACAACTCCATGTGCATTTTCAACGTTTGGGGCAGTTGTAAGTTCATGAAAGGAGAAAACACAACAAATATTTAAATTAAACATGCCTATTATTAAAAAATAAAATTTCAATAATGTCATGGTCCATAAAAGTTCAGGAAATTAGACAAAATAGTAAATAAAATAGGTCAGTAAATTTATCATATTTTATGTTAAGGTTTATTGAAAGCACTGGCCTGGATGACAAAGAAATACATGTAAATATTGTTCATGTGAAAATCAGATGTTAGTATGATTTCTTATTAACAGATTACTTTAAAAAAAATATACGCTCATACTTAGACTAAATACTTAAATACAAAATATATTCAATAAAATTCATATTCATACACTTCATTCATATTCTAACATTCTACAAAGGTTTGGCAAGAATAAAAGATCCATCTGAAGTCTAGAATGACCTTGTGAACCTTTAAATTTAGAAGTTTTATGGTGTAATACAAGTCAATTACACATTGATGGGATTATTGTTAACAGCATGAAAACAAGAAAACTTATTTAAATGAGTAATAGTTTTGTCACTGAACAAACATAATGTGACTAAAAATACATGGACAAACTTAGCTACGTCATTCCAGTTAGATTCAATATAATTGTTGCTTCATTAAATAGAGCTCACCTAGTGCTGCTGTCACTTGTTGTTTCAGATATAAAACCTTCATCAGGCCAGAAAAGTTGGTAATAGGGGCATGAGTAAAACTTAGACATATGAGCAAAGTAGGTGGGCCCAATGATCAGGAATGACACCAAGCAACAAAAATGTTTGACAGTACAAAAACCCTCATAGGTATCAGATCTAGAAAAATTACATGTTAAAGGGATTGTAAAGAGGTTTTCTAAATTTTGTATGTGTACCATGGGACACTTATAGCTTCAATTTGGTTCTCTGGAATTACCGTTAGCACAGCTTGAAGGTAATCTTAATGGTGCCAATTGAAGCTATAAACATTCCAAATATTCATACAATGGCTACAAAACCTGTTTGAATCCTTTAAAATACAAGACTTTAACAAGGCCACAATATAAAGCAAAGTGGAAGGAAGCGAAAGGCAATAGGATAACAATAGTTCAAACACTAAACTAGAACAAAACAAACAAGAATATTGCAAAAATATAACAAATATAGACAAATATATAGACAAAAATATAACAAATATAGACAAATATAAAGACAAAAATATAACAAATATAGACAAATATAACCAATTAAGTTATTAGGCATTAAAAATATACAATTCATTTTGTTTATAAATTGAAATTGAATCCTTTATTTAATATTTTGCCTGCCTGTAAAGTGATATCAAACTAAACAATTCATTATATCCAGGTTATAAAGTCCACTAATGTAATCAAAATTTCACTTAAGAAATCAAATCGGAAACTAAGTTCCAGTAGAATAATACGTAGAGAAAATTGGAGTAGTTTATTCCTTTAAAGTAATTTATATAAATAGGTATTATCTAATTACCCTAATCAGGTATAACAAGGTGTAATAATCTATAATCTATCTTAATCTTTATCACCTGTATAATTAAACTGTTTTCATAACATTATCAAACAGATATTCTAAATATAGTATCATTTTCTGTGAAAATTAATCAAAATATTTGAAAAAGTCTGAGATATCTAAAGCGTTCATGGACACTTGCAACAGGGTATAACTAGCCACTCAGTAGTTATTGTCAACTCATTTCAATACTAAAATCAGTTGAGTAATGGCCACTTACAACTGTCTTAATCAGCAGTTGCTTGTTCTTGTTTTTTTGTTCTACCTTTGCTCTGACCACCCGAGGCACTCTGCGACTACATCAGACAACATAAACATGCAGAGCTGCAGTCACATCATGTGACTTGGGCTGCCCCTAGCATGTAGAGCTGTACTTTCGATGTACGTGCAGTAGAAGTGTCAGACAGTAGAAGTGTCAGACGTTGCTCTCAGTTACTGCAATTATCCCAAACTGATCACAACTATTCAGTTCAATGTCCGAGTCGACTTAAAAGATCATAGATGCTCTCGAAGGACACTTAAATACCCATTAAAAACAATTTGAATCATGATTTGAAATTTGTCGCCTATGAAATCTGAATATTTAGAACCATAATTTTTGGAAATTAAAAACTGACTTCAACCAATTTGGGGGGTAGGTTTAAGTGTTGAATATATGTAAAAAGTCTTCAAGTACTAGAAATGTAATAAAATTGCATAATTCCTTAAAAGATACTTCAAAATAGGAATTTAACTCACTATTTCTATTATGTCTTTTCTTTATATCACAGAGTATCTTTCAAACGTGGATAATTCTAGACACACATGAATTTGAATGCTTAAAATTCGACAGTGAGCTGTGAAAACTATTATGATTGGCTTAGCTAAAAAATTCCCGTTTCTGTGACTTAAAGATGATTGGTCATAAACAATGTCCTTTAAAAAAGAAAAAAATATACATGTAGCTAAAAAGATTAGCATATGAATAGCAATATATCATTATGATTTAATAGTGTAAAAATCATTTATATACAATACTGCCCTACTAAAGGAAAAGCTCTAAATGCAGTAATACAATAAAAATGAATAATAATAACGGATATGATGCACTGAAATGAAAGGAAATAAATATTATGCACATTAAAATTGACTTGAAATTGAAAGTATTATCAAAATATTGTGGTTAAAACATTGCATATCTTTCAGTGAGTTGAATTAAACTCTATCAATGTTATAATATTATTATTAACATCTAAATATTTTACCCATATAATGAGCTTTAGTACATCTTGATATTTTGGTGAAAACACCCATTAAAGTTTCATTCATCACAGTAATACTGTAGGACCAAAACATAATAATAATCAATTAACAATATAGTTAAAATAGTTTCAATATTTACTTTTTAAACTTTGTAGGTTATCAAACTATAAGTTAATACTAGGTCAACATACTAAATATTCTTTTACATAATACTGACTATAATAGATACTAGATAACAGCTATATCTACTTCAATTATCAGCAAAATATTTAATCATGACAACACTGCCAAGTTCAATGGATAACACTAAACACAACTCAATTTATGGTGAAATACATTCGATTACTAGTTATCCATAAATTGTAGTATTGTCTACAATGGTTAAATGCCTATAAAATAATATTCTCTCTTACCAACAAGGATTAGAAATATTTCTTAAAAATGCTAGTATCATGGCTCTAAAAAGTAAACACAGATACAGAACATGTTTAACATGCTTAATTGTACACCATAAGATAATTCATTTAGCCTTTCAGTAACTGACCTAAGTAAGTTGCTTGGACCAGATTGTGGTAGGGTATACAGTATTACAATGTCATGGATATGAACAGTCCTTTAAAACTTGAGTCAATCTAGTACGATAGTTACTTATATGCTACCTGTTAACTGAACTCTTCCACACATGTATATTTGCCATCAACATGTGGTTAAAGTGCTTTTTAGATGTTTTGAGTATAAGACAATCATAATAAAATGAATCAAACTTTTTTTGACTTTACTCTGAGATAAAGTAGCTTTTAATCAAAACCTGCTTTAAACCAGCAGTCTGAAAGTACTGTCCTTATCATTATTTAGTTTATTAAAAGTACTTATAGATGTACTTTGGTGATGTTTAAGAAGCACTGGCCATTGCAATAAAAATTAAATTTATAATCAAGACTATGGGTATCTAAAATAAAGATATTTCCAGCTTAAAAACTTAACAAATATAAAATTTTGATAAAAATTCATGAGATCTTTGGAGAAAAATCAGCTGGACATATATCCACACCAACTTCAGAATCAACAGGTTTCTTAGCAGTTTCTTGATCCTCTTCAGAGCTTGAGCTTTGGACACTTGAGTTTGCATCACATGAATTCTGAGTGGTCAATGGCCTCATTTCTAATGCATCATGTTTGGTTCTAGAAATATCTGTTCTCGGAACACTGTGAGAATTTCTGCCATCATGCGAGCATTCTGAGTTTGATTTCTTAACTTCGATTGTTTGTTCCATGTAAGGATATTTTTCCTCCTCCGTGAGCTGATGACACACAGATTCATATAAAAGATTCCGATCACATGGTAGACATATCTGAATTTTCTCAGGATGGAACACTTTATAGTATAGAAGTTGAAAAATGATGTGGACAACAAATAAAACCAAAATCAATATAAAAGCATAAAGATCATACCAAGCTCCTTGTGATGGTAATAATCTAAACCAAATTCCAATCATCACAAAATTTTCAAAATAAATTATGATGTAGAAAACGAGGTAGCGAAAACGAGTGTGTCCTTCCTGTAGATTTAAAAAACAAAAAATCATGACATACCCACAAACGATGTTAAATATTGTTTCTTGCCACCGTTTGATGTAGAATTGCGTCTTTTGATTAATAGTCCAGACAATCATGATCAACCAGTGAAGTAAAATTGGAGCGAAAACCCAAGCTTGGTATGTAATAGCAAACAAAGCAAAACATAGGACACGACCCCCGACTTCAGAAGCTCTCCATATGAAATAAAATGGTGTTGCTACAAATGAAAGATTGCGTTTAGTATTTCGAGAGTATCTTAACGACTTATGGTATGACGTTAACCCCATACTCAAACTTCCCCAAGATGATAAGAGAAAGATGATTCTCATAGATAAACCCACTACATCTTCATCAGGGCGTAAAGCAGCCCATGCATAAAGCTGAAACACAAGTTGTGGTGCAGCCTCCAAAAATCCTCAAACAGTCGCAACAGACTAGCATCTAGATCTTCATACAACATCCAGTTATGATATCTCACTTTTTCGATCTTCGTTATTTTCTTCTCTGATTTCATAGACATCCATCCATAGTATATATATTCCACAGATCGCATTAATGTTCCTAATTGTAATAAAGTCATAACTACCCTTAAAATCCATAATCCTTTTTTAGTTTCATGAACAGGTTTCCAATGGTTATCATATTTCTTTCTCTGTTTTTCTATCTCTTTCTTTTCAATATGATAATCAATCCAGTACCAATGTAGACCAAAACCACACATCACTAATGATGGTCCTGCCACAAAAACTGTTGTCACAATCCCAAAGGTTGTCTCCCCTTCTGAAAAATACTTCATAGCTAAATGAATGTCACTTATAATGTCACCAATATAAAGTATGACAGAGAGAACAGCCAAACATAAATATTTGAAATCAAATCGATATTCTTCATAATATTTTCTATCTTCTTTTTCCACTCCCTTTCCAAAAGCTATATCAACTTTGTCTGGTGAGGCTGAGAGGGGTCTATCAACTTCTATTGATACATCGTTTCGCTGAAAATCCACTTCATCTAAAGCTCTAGTCACATCACTCCTACCTAGTTCAATCTCAATTTGATCAACAGGCATATGGAGATAAACATGCCATTTTCGATCATCACGCCGAGAGAGTGGAAATTTAGC